CAGGAACAGTGAGGAAAAGGTAGGGGTTGAGGAAATGCTGAGGGGAAGCATAACACAGGGTTGAAAACAGGAGGAGGGATTGAAAGTCTGCAGATGAAATAGTGCACTAGGTTTAGCAACTTCAACAATGCCCGCCAGGCACAGGTCAAACCGCATATGACAGCAGATAGCTAGAAACTCCTTTATTATAAATTCTAGCAGAAAGATCAAATATTTATATCTGGCATTTTACATCTGTTTGATATGTTAAAATAGTAATAATAATAAGAACCATAATAAAATTCCCTTTTGTGGAAACAAAGTATTTGGGGGGAAAAACAATAAATAAAATGCTCCTGAAAATCTAGATTGAACTCTTAAGGACTGCAAAATACCATATTTATTTAGAAGATGCTCCTACTGAGGAACCGTTGTCAGTTCCAGAGAAATCTTATTAATGATCTGTTTCGAACCTCAGATAGAGAGACTTGAACTGAAATCTTTGCCCAAAGTCACAAAGCTAATTAGGGCTCAATATGGTATTAGAACCCAGGTCACTGGACTTTTACATAACACCCTCCCTCAATTACCCAAAATGCCAGTAGGGTGAGCTTTGATTCAGTCAGATTTTTCGCCAGAATCTTATTTTTATGTGTCATGTTTTTGAACACATTATTAGAGACAGAGGTTAGCTCTGTGACAATAAGACACTATAAAACCTGCTTGCTGGTTTTAACACAGGAGGGCTAACACTGGAGTTAATTTCAGAACTTTCTCCTCATTGTTAGAGTTTTTTCACTGAAGTAGCTGATCAAAGTATAATAGAACATGAGGCTCACTCATGAATGTGGATTTTTCACATTCATTAAAAGGGCTGAGTTCATGAATAAAAAATACAAGCAAAGAACAGGGTGGGAAAACGTGGCTCCACATTGAACCGATGACTCGACATTAAACCCACACAAACCAAGGGTGAAGAGACAAATTCGTGGTCTTGATTGTTTTCTTTTAAGAATATTAAATGATTCGGGATGCCTGAGTGGCTCAGTTGGTTAGGCATCTGCCTTCAGCTCACGTCATGATCCCGGGGTCCTGGGATCGAGCCCCACATTGGGCTCCTTGCTCAGTGGGAAGCCTGCTTCTCCCTCTGCCTCTGCCTGCCACTCCCCCTGCTTGTGCTTGCTCTCTGTCTCTCTCTCTCTGACAAATAAATAAAATCTTAAAAAAAAAAAAGAGTATTAAATGATACGTAAAACAAGAGTGGTATTTCTGGTACTCAAGGAAACCTTGGCATGTCATTTTGTAGAAAACAGTGTCTTTACTGACGAGCCAGTGTATTTATTCATCTATTTCCATACTCAGGATATGCATCCTATTTCTGATATAATTTACATTTGGCTACAATAAGAATGTGCCTTAAAACCATGTTACTGATATTATCAATGAAGTGGTTAACCACGTTGGCACTGAAATGGCTGTAACTACATTTCTAAGTTAACAGTTCTCTTACGTTGCACAAGAAAAGCTTTGCTTCTCTGTCACTGTTCCACATCTGGGTCTATAATCTCCATAAGGCAAGATGAATTAGCTTTTCATTCCAAAATAAATAAATTTCGTGATTGGAGACATAATAGTTCTAGCAGAAAAAATAAACTCTCTTCTGGAGAAATCAGCAGAAATTCATAGGCCCTTAATCCTTCCAGAGCCAACCAATTTCTGTTGCTTCAGGCTTGAATAATTTCCTTGAACTGCAATAAATTTGAATTCCTTCTAAATTCCTAAATTTGGGAGGAGAATCTACTCTTCATTTACTATTGGAAAGGAAAGGAGGAATATGAAATCATTCCAACCATATCTGAGAGTATTAGAATGGTATGAAAATTCCTATATTGGGGCGCCTGGGTGGCTCAGTTGGTTAAGCGACTGCCTTCTGCTCAGGTCATGATCCTGGAGTCCCGGGATCGAGTCCCACATCGGGCTCCCGGCTCAGCGGGGAGCCTGCTTCTCCCTCTGACCCTCTCCCCTCTCATGCTGTTTCTCTCTCGCTCTCTCTCTAATAAATAAATAAAATCTTTAAAAAAAATTAAAAAAAAAAGAAAGAAAGTTCCTATATTTGCTGTGTTCCCTCTGAAAGGTACAAAGAGGAAAGATGATTGCTGGTGAATCACTGTTCTGTTTTATCAAGAGACCTGAGTGCTCTCACTGCTCTATTCCCTTAGGGGGTCATGTTCCTCTGCTTAAAAGAATATTGCCTGCTCTGTGAGCTAATGATTTGTTTGGAGGATGTAAGTCTCAGAGGTGAAGATAACTGCACAGCTTTTATAATGTAGCTTTCAAATCTTTGATATGCTTTATTTTGGGAATACATGGGACCCCTCAATGGCAAGATTAAAGATGCCTGTTCAGAGAAGAAAGGCAAAATTTGAAAACCTAAAAGCTGCTCAGATTTCCAAGTAATATTTCTGCATTTCTTCATTTTGTCACCATCACACTTGGTGTTGTCCTGCATTCGTGTGATAACGGCATGGTAATCAAAACACAGTTTTGGATCACAGTAGTTTTGTTGTTGTTGTTTTTCCAAGGAGGCATGGAACTATGAATCCTGTTTTAAAAAGTGGTTAGTGCAAACTTACTCATGGCTAGGACGTACATACTCATTTTGAATTCTATTTAATTTGACGAATATTTACTTGGTACCTAGCAGATGTTAGGCATTGTGCCTTCTTTTGCAGGAAACACCAAAAAGCAGAATCTGTTTTCAAGACACATACTCTCACTGGGCAGATAAGGCAATTACAGAAATAGCCATGATGGGATGTAGAATATAACCAGTGAAAAGTTCTTGGAGAGAAATGAATGACATTCAATGTGGGAACAGAGAAGAGACAACAGTCAAGTAAGAGGGGGATCAGGGAGGATTTCAACATTTGAGAAGGACCTTGCAAGAGCAGTAAGATTTCCCTGGATGGGACCGGAGTTGGAAGTAAGGTGATATTAGTGTATGTTGTGTGTATCTGGGGTGCTAGGGCGTAGCCAGGGGAAGGGAGGTGGTCAAAAAAACGTTAAGAAGTTTGTACATAATCTGTAGGCGATAGGGATCCAATGAAGGTTTTGAAGGAGAGCAAAGATAGAATAATAAAGAGTTGTAGTTTAAGAAACACTTTGAAACATTTGAAAAGCACATTTTGGTGTGTTTTGAACTAAAATAGGCCCATGTAAGCAAGCAAGTATGTTTGATAATGTCCTACAGGTCTTATTTCCAAATAGAACAACTACCACTAGAAATGTTAAACATGCTGGTAGTAGAACTAACTTCTCATTTATATTTGAATCTGAAAGATTATTCTTCTTCACTGTTATAATGACATAGCTCATCCATGTATATATTTCTAATCTCGGTCAAATGAATCAGGAAGGGGGTGTACCTTTATAGCATTTCAGAGAATTTAATCTTCTCCACCATATGAATAGCTGAGTTTTTACTGTCTGAATAATATTTTGAAATGCATTGTTTTGCTTTGCTCCTAAGCCCTTTGGAACACAAAACACCCTCACCAAAAATGAGGAAAAATGTTAAAAGAATAGAAAAATAAATAGCTTTATAGAGTGAAGAAAAACAAAAGAAATTTTTGAAAAACACCAAACAGGATTGCAGCAAATAGAAAAAACTAGCTTCTCTAGTTTTGAGGAGTATTTTTTTTCATGGTGATTAGGGTGATGGTTAGAGCTTATCCAGGTAAATCTGAAAAAGTGAGTAGCCCAACTTATTCTCTATCAAACCTTTTATCAGAAGAAGTAATGTAATAGATAGATGGGTTGTATTTCCTCTGCTTTATCTCCTGGGCAGACAAAATGAGGGAGTAAAGGAAGATAACTCAAAACTACAGAACAAGCTCTCAAATATATGACAACACAACATCCTGAAGTGAGCAAAATATTATCTAAAAGTGGTTAGTTAATAGTTACCTGTAAATATTTGTCGGGCACTTGAGCACATTGAAATTCAACAAGCCATCTATTTTTTAAGACTTTATCTTGTACATATACTTGGAATGAGACCTTTACTTATTTCATAACTAGAGGACAGACGCTGAGAAGTGGTATTCTACCAATGTAAAAGAAGCAATAAAATTCCTTTGTGCCCAATTTACTGTTATTTACTATTTATTCTATGGAGAAAATAAAAGCCAAAGAGCTTTATTGTTTCCTCTAAATGACCTAAGGGGGGAAAAAAAAAGAGTTCCAAGCAGGAGATGCTTCTTTACATAACAGAATTTTACCCATGATTCCATTTGCACTATCCCCAAACATCCCTAAAATATTTTGCTTTAAAAAGTTTGATTTACCAACAATTATGCAACCCAAGGGTCTGTCATAGGCAGTACTGTAAAAAATTTTAAAAATCCTATTCTGAAGTTCTTAACTGACGACGGGAGCCTAGTCAAGTTGACACATAAAAGTGACCCTCACATCACCTCTAGTTATTTGTTTTTAATTGACTATTTTGACTAATTATCACAAGAAAAGGTATATAAGAAAAGAAGTGGAGTTAAGAGAAATTAATATTACATTAATATTACATTTTTCTAAATATTCTAACTTGAATTGATCAAATAGTAGGAAAATTTACTACCATCAGCAAAGTAAAAGTATAATACTAATTAGCATCTGTGAACTAGCATCTGTGACTTGTTCTTGTCAATAAGGTACAACACTGAACATTTTTTAAAAAACCCATAAACTTATCTCACATTCCTTACAGCTAGCTGATCAGTGCATGTTGCTGAATATTTAAGGCAACTGAAAAAAAACAGGAGGATGGTGATTTGTCAAGTTCAACTAATCATTACCACATTTTATGTTTTCCTTATCATCAAAGATACAATACAACATGAAGGCACATCCAATATTTATGTAGTAAAGAATAAACAAAATTAAAATTACCAATAAAATCAAAATCACCCATGCAGCCATTAAGAATGACACAAAAACTAAAGTGTTTTCAAAAACCAAAGTCTTACCAATAGTTGGATCACATACAATGCTGCCTCTATTCTCCTTCCATGACAGCAGGTAGTCAAGGCTGGTGAGATCTTCAGACTCGATGTAATTATTAACGGTCAGCATTATCTGATGAGCTTTTGCTATTCCATAATGAACTTTCATTTCATCCATTTCACGCAAGTTTGTTGGCTCTGCTGTTGTGTCAAAAGCTTGCTGAAAGTATTGCGAAGCTTTGTTGTAGTAACCCTAAAAATGTAAGAGAAATAATTTTTTTCTTAATTTTTGGTTCTATCCTTCCACATATCTGCTCACCTTGGTATGCACCACACTTACCTTTCGATAGTTATAGCATTCATCTTCTAGAAGAAAGATGGCTGGCAGGGTCTCTTTTAGAATAAGGTTCTTTTAAAAAGTTGTGATTACTAACCATACAATATCTTGAAGCTGGGATACTAAAAAAGTTTTATCTACTAAGTTGAATTATATGAAACAAGGTATTTTTGGATTAAAAATGGTCAAATGTTAAGCATTTTCAGATAGTTCAACCTGATACATGGTAGCAAAAAGAAGTCTGGGAAAGAGTGATCTAATTCACATTGATTTGGATGTAATTTTCCTACTTGTAGCATTGGATTTACCTAATACAGCATTTTTAACTAGTTGTTGTTTTTAGTCACAGCAAGAGATCATTTTCAGCCAATCTGTTTAATCAGTGGCCACTGAAAATAGATGTATTTATCTGCTGATTTGGTTATTGCTCTTGTTTTCCCCATGTGCTTAGGTCTTTTTTGACTAAGAACATTGGAGGTATTCAAGATTCCTGAGAAATAATGATCCCAATGGCACTAGCACAACTCATTTAAATGTTCATTTCTTCTCTAAGTTCTTTGCAACATTTCATTGCAAAAATTCAAGGTGGTTTTTTGTTTTTTGGGGTTTGTGGGCTTTTTGGGTCATACTCTCCTATCCTCCTACAAGCTATTGTCCACAACAGCTTTCAAAGGGCCAGTACTAAGTACTTCATGTATTATGTCACTAACTTTTGTAAGTCATCCTGTGAGGAAATACTATTCTTATTCTACAAATAATGAAATTGAGCCTCAGAAAAGAAACTATCTTCTGCCACCCTCCAAATTTTCTTAAAATCCTCGTGAAAAAGCTTTCCTCAATGAAGGATATCATTTTTAGGATTGAGCCTATACTTTTAAGGCTCTAGGGAAAGAAGTTTCCTCTCTTCACTGACTTGTAAGTCTCCTTTCCTCTCCCCCTCCCTCCTCTCTCCTCTCCCTCCTCTCTCTATTGCTCATACACACGGAAACACGCATGCACACACTTTTGAGAAGAAACCTTTACAAGAGAGAATATTTTATTATAAGTTTTCAAATTATGTTCTCACAACTAGAAGGAAATAGTAATACAAACACCATTGAAATGGCCTTATACCACATACCAGGACAGGCAAAATGCGTACTCAACCCCATGCATCTCTTTATAGTCATGGCATTCAGACAGCAAACTGATTAGATACAAAAGTTGCTAGAAGATGAGGAGGGGAGAAATAGGGCTTGTGTGACACTTATGTTACATACATAAGCAGTATAATACTATGTTATAGGCCTACAAGGAGGGTTTAGTGAACTCTTTACTCAAATTGTTCATTCCAATTAAACTTACGAATTTAAACACAGTGCCTCTATATTTTATCAATAATAATTCTAGTTTGTTGAGGTGAACAATTCTTTTTTTTGTTTCAGTGTAAAACACAACTTATATGAGAATACAGTTACTTAATTAGAAAAAATAAAATGGTATCAAGGACATTTGTACAAGTAAATCATATAATTGAGAAACACTATAAATATTGAAGATGAAAATAAAACTAGTTAATATTTGGATTATTCTGCTAAACATCAAAGATATAGGACAAAATAAATGAACATATGTGACTAGACCACACATTTCTATTTTTAAAAACAGAGAAGTATAAATATCTGATTAGTGTTCTAATTATACTTCATAGTAGTAGCTATTTATTGTTTTAGATGAAAATCTTAATTAGGAAATTAGGGACCTTAATAAGTGGACATATATTTAAATTTCCAGAATTATTTCATATATTATTATGTTAGAATTAACGTATTCATCAGGCAACTACTAAGTACCAAGCTCCATGCCAGGCAGTGGGGATTCAGCAGTTAACAGAATTTACTGTGCCTAAAATTTATATATTTTTTAACAAGTGTTTTCCCCTCTACAATAGGAGCATTATAATTATTCATAATTATTTAATTATAATTATAATTACATATAATTATTCTTCCTGCAAATTGAGCCTAGCATTCAATTGTTAGACACAGACACAACTGCCATAAAACTGGTATTAACCTAAATTTCTCTAGTTTAAAACACTATTAAGGAAATACATTAATTCTTCTCAGATGCAAACATTTTTATACATACCATTTTGGAATGAGATTTCATTAACGTGTATTGCATTTCTATATTCTAAATTCTTAAAGAATTTAATATTTAAATCTAATCTCTTCTCCAAAGTTTCTGTCCAGTGTTCTACAGTTCAATTCTGTTATCAGTTAATCCTTATCCTATTATAAAATGCAGAAGATTCTAGTAATTAATCTTGACAATCTTAAATACGAATTTGAGAATATATGAGTGAATTAATCACTTCATGAATTCATCTTATTGGAAAAGAGAACTTTGTTTAGTGTTATAAATATCACTGGTAAGCATTTAGGAGACAATTTCAGGACAGGATCTTGATGACATCGTAGACCTTAAAACAGAGCTTGCATTATTACACTATAATTTAGAATTTTCATGCATTTTCCTGATTCTTAGCAGATCCTTCTAAGTGTGTCTAAAATGTCACTCTATCCAATGAGCAAGCTCAAAAATAAATGAACATATTCCTAGTACTAAGGAAAAACCATTTTTTACACATTTTCTTTACTATTTTAGTCTGGAACTATCATTGTTTTATTTTTTTTTTAATTTTTAATTTTAAAAAAATTTTTAATTATTTATTTGAGAGAGAGAAAATTGAGAATGAGCAGGGGAAAGGAACAGAGGGAGAAGGAGAAGCAGACTCCCCACTGAGCAGGGAGCCTGACACGGTGCTCGATCCCAGGACCCTGAAATCATGACCTGAGCCAAAGGCAGACGCTTAATTGACTGAGCCACCCAGGCACCACTATCATTGTTTTAACTATGTGATTATTATCTGATCTTATTGGGGAATGAGAAATCTCATAAAGGGTTTATATCTAGTTATTTCCCCTAAAGAATTCTGACTACTTTATATTAATTAAATATTTTTATCAAAAGATCACATCAGGAGGGTGGGATGGGTGGCCCATCTTCTATGATTATATGGTAAAAGGTAAACTAATTAGAATAAATGACCTTTTAAAGATGTGCTATCTTTAATTATAACAACACTGTAATAACTAGAGAAAACAGTTAATTCTAATATTTTTTCCAAATACAGTCTTATAATTGTGGTCTTATAATAATATTTCTTAGAAATGATTGTAAAGAATACAATTAGAACACATTGCCTGAATAGTATGAAGCCAGAAAAGAGAGGATGAGGGCAGTTTGTAGAGGCCCTGAAAGGTAGACTGACAAGTACCAGGAATATTATATTTGCGTTTAAAGGTTATAACAAGTTTTCAGAATCATTGTACAAAAGTGAAATAGAAGTCTGGAATTTCTTTTTTTTTAATTTTTCTCCATAGCATTTTTTTTCATCATATGATTTGTTTACTTATTTATTTTTTTAAATATTATATTAATCACCATACATTACATCATTAGTTTTTGATGTAGTGTTCCATGATTCATTGTTTGCGTATAACACCCAGTGCTCCATGCAGTAC